AGTCGATATCGATAATTATCACGATAAATGTCAAATCTTTATTTCTTTCAAGTTTAAAGCCAGATTTTTTCTCCAAAGTGAAAGTTTGGAGCAATTAATTTTCCTTAACAAAATAAATATCTAAATAGAAAAATGTATTTCTTAGTTTCTGCATATTCTAATGAGTGATATTGTTTTCAAATCAAGAAACTGATTTGGGTTGCCTGATAATATTAATAGTAATATAACTTTTTTGTCTCTTAGAAATGCACATTTGATAGTAGCTTGAGTTAGGATGCAGAGGTAAATTTTTGTTCATTATTAAAATCAGTAACATCTGTAAAAATTGTAGCAACCTCAGTTTTATATGGTTAGATTTATTCTGACCACGGTTTTTTTTTTTTTAATTAAGCAATAGTCCTCCCATAGTAGCATACATTTAAATCATGATAAACACAGTTAAAACCACACATATAGCACCTCGATACCATAAATATAACTATATGATTTTTAGGTAGCCTATTTGTATGAAAAACAGTAGTCTAAAAACATTCAGTATAAATGCACACATATAGTACGTATTTGAGATTACGCTATAGTATAGCTTAATGACAAATACGTACTATAATTACCATTACTCCTGTATTAAAATTCAGTGTGAATATCCCAACTGGATCTCACAGCGCTGTTATGCTCACGTGACCAAGTAAACACATCTGGTCTAGTGCGCTCGCGCCGCACGGCCATTTGAACTTTGATCCGAGCAGATAAATGGTCCGTGTGGCGTTTCGTTCCGCTTTTGGTACATAAACATTATATCAAACATTTATCGAACACTTCATATAGTTTTATTGAGAAATTATATCACGATAATTATCGTTATCGAATTATCGCCTAGCCCTACAACTGTATATGTCACAATTCTGCTCTTGTTTGTAATTATAAATAAGCATCAATTATGTTAATGTCAAATATATTGGGCCTCATTCATCAAACATTCGTAAATATAGGAGCAAATTCGGAGTAATTTAAAATGGACCTTCCTGAAAACTCTTCTCCGGATTCACAAACTCTTTGTACACATCAGGGCCTGTATTCACACAACATTTTATTTTACCACTAAGAGTTCTCCTAAATAGCAGTAAAAGTTTTTAGCTAAGAGTTTTCTCTTAAAACCTATTCACAAAGCTGCTGAGACAAACTTTTACTAAGGAATAGACAGAAGTCTTAAGTTAAGAGTAAGGGCGGGGTTGACCTTGTTGCTATGGATGATGTCAGCATACTTGCTAACTATGCACACAGTGATTGGCTGATAGGGGAGGGGTCTTTTTAAAATATTTAAAATAATTGCCACGTTCAAATAAAGATTTTAAAATGCAGGCTAAAGCCCTATTCAGACGGTAATTGCGGTAATTGTGGGCGTAAGTGATTTTCACCATTTACAGGGGGTAGTTGGTGATTTTAATGCCGTCCG